TAACCCAGCGCTTTCCACTCCGAAATGTAGCCTAGAGCAGACAAGGGGTTAACGTCAACCTCCTGAATGGAAACAAAATCAATGTGTTCATCCCGGCACAAGCTACAGATGGCGGGATTTTTGGAGACACCAGCTTGATTCGTGTTAACGGTCAGGAGGCGAGCGAAGGTGCATTGGGGGGAGCTCGCTTTTGGACAGCTTGGATAGCCCCATCAATGGCACTCAAGTACAACCGTTGCTCAGCTGCCTCAACATGATCAAGGACCCACCGCCGCATCTCAGCAAATTGTTTGAGGCGAAGGCGCGTGACCTGGGCAGCCCTTTTCGCTGGTGGACACAGGCCCTTAGAGTGACGGCGCGCAATAGGGCGATCTTTCGTGGCGGCACCACACTTTTGGCACAGCCAAGCATGCGTTAGGGATATGCGCTTAATTTTGCGGGCAGCATGTTTGGAGCTGGTGCCCTTGGCATTTTTCTTAAGTGGGAAGTGCCGCGGCACGGGCCACACGAAAGTTTGCATGCCGGGGAATCTAGCTTGGGAAACCTCAGTGAGGGCAACCTTTTGCAGAGCGCGTCGGCGGCAGTCTGCAGCGAAGCCCTTGGCATCCTTAGGACCGGTTTGTTTCAAGGAGATCAAGGCGGTCCACTCATTCTTGGGCACCTCTGGGTGGTGCTGTTGTCTGTGATCTTCACGCATCTGGGAAAACACATGTCTGCTGATGGTTGCTCTAACCTCTTTGGAGACTCCGAGCGAGCACTTGGGACACTTCCAAAAGCGGTTTTTGGCACCTCCCTGAACCTTGCCTACCTGAGGACGTCGAAGGGGCCCCGGAAGCGTGGCGCCACCATGATGCCGATTGTAGTGGTTATGGTTGACCTGTCGGTACTGTGCCAAGCTAGCAGTAGCACGCTTGAAAGGACACAATCTGCAGTGAAAAACACCATCAGCAGGCCTGCAGATGGGGGCACGATGCGAGCAAGTTGCAATTTGCTTTCGTTCCACAGGGACATCGGGCTCGCAACCCGAGAGGTCTTGGCTGAGAACATCGTCATGGTCCTCGTTGCAGTGATCCAGCCCACGGCTGGAGGTGACAACGAGCCTTCGGCCAGTGTTCTTGCAACGCTGCGAGTCAGGTGCGGCCTTCAAGGGAGCAGGAAGAGGGCGTGCAGCACACTTGGTCCAAACCGTACCAGCATCGAAAGAGTGGGGCACACTGCTGGCAGCTTTGGTGCTTCGGGGCTTGAGATGAATGCCCGGCGTCACCTTAGACGAATTGGCAGTCCACACAGTGCCCGATCGGAGTGAAGAAGCATCGTCTGAGCCACCAACTCGGATGCCTTTTACCGGGCCGTCGCTGACCTGCCAGTGCTCCTGAGGGTAGTCCTTGCTCGTGGTTTTCTCACCCTTTGGCTTCAGGAACTCCAAGTGTTTGTTTTCCAGCCAAAGGACCAACATTCGCCGGGTCTGCGAGGTGTGGAAAACCATTGGCGTGAAGAGATCTGAAGCCGGGATGATAAGTACTCGAGTGTTATAGATTCGGGCCAAAGCGCGAATCTCAAGCTCAGAGGCAAATTGCCCCAACTGCTTGATTGCCGTCAAGTAATCATCAAAGGTTTTGTCCTTGCCTCCGCAGGGCAGAAGACCATCCCATTCACTTTCGTATTCCTGGCGGTGTTTTTCAAGATGGGCCGCCGCGCGGGCTCGAAGCTCAACGTGGCTGAACTCCTTGATGCTATCGCCTTTGCCTGTGGAGAGCCAGGCGAGACCCTCAGCAATGGCATGAAAAGCGCAGTTGCCGTCTGTGGCACAAGTGCGGCGCTCAAGGCCCTCCGGCACCAGGCGAGTCGACCCTCGTGATCGTTTTGCAGCCGGTAGCTCTTTGCCATTCGCATCCGTTGTGACATCCTCCGAGCCCTGGGCCGAGTCCGGCACTGCAGCAAGGCTAGTTGTTTTGTCAGGCTGAACATGCGGAACGGTGCCTCGCGTGAGGCGCCGCTGCTGAGACTGAAAAGTTCTTGCGGGGGCCAGGGCGGCCCAAAGCACAATAGGCTGACCTGAATCATCGACGTGGGCATTGAGTGGGACCAGGTCCTTGTCCCCCGCCGAGCACTTGGCCCTAAAACGAAAGGTCATGGAGCCCCTATGCAAACGGTGGGAGAGGATGGTGATATCCGTGAAGCCCTGCTCAAGCAATTGCGTGACCTCATGGCTGTGCCATTCACGCGGCACTTCACTGACACACCAGATGCGTGGCAGCAGTTCGCCGTCGGTCTTGGTGTGGCGCCAGGCAATGCGATTTCCGAAGACCGTTAATCCATGAGCAGGGGCGCCCCGAAGGGCTCTTTGCAGATACTGGTCATCGGTCTCTTGTTTGCTGAGCCGCGGGAGCCACTCAAGACGCGCCTGAACAACATCCCGACGGGCTGGTTCAACAAAGATCCCTCGTTGGCCAGAACGGCCCAGCAGGGTACCAACATCAGCAGAAGGGACCCTGAGCAGGCCAAACAGTTGCGACGTCTTGGTGGTCTTGATCTGCTCTTCAACCCAACCAAAAGCGTCAACTCCTTGCACATGATGAGAACCGGCCCACTGCATGCAAGCCTTGGCAGCATTGCCCTTGAAATCCTTCCAGGTTTGCTCGCTAGCAAACACCTTGGGGATGCGCATGTAGACCAGGGAGGTCTGGAGTGATTTGACCTTCACCGGGGCTTTCAGGCCCTGTGGATCCGGGGTGAGGTGTTCCTTGGCACTGTTCACCTGAATCACCTGGGCTGTGCGGAAACGCAGAGCATCACCAATACGACCTGGGATACGCTTAGCATTGGTGCCTTTATCAAGATATATGTGCAACATGGCAAACGGCTTGCCAGACGACTTCAGCATGGCAGTGGCAGTGTCAAGCTGGGGTTTGGTGGCAAACACCACGCCCTTGATGACCTCACCTGGTGCGGCCTTGTCGATGAGATTTCCCAAGCTGGAGTAAGCAACTAAAGGGGCTGTCCAATCTTGGGCTCGGAGCTGAAACTCTCCCTCCTCCTTGGGCTTGCGGGTGACCAGATTCCATCCTGAGCCGGAGGGCTGGGCCGTAGGGCTGCCTTTGCCTTTGCCTCGGGAGGGCTGCGGTTGCGCTGCATGCAAAGGACCAGCGGGGTCTTCACGTGATTTGGCAGGCGTGGCATCACGCTTGGCTGGGTGCTTGCCACCGCCCTTGGAGCGCTCAGTGCCCTTGGGACCTTTGCGTGACCCAGCTGGCCGCTCGTTAGCCGGAGTCTGTGACACTAAAGCCTGACCCCCCAGGAGAGAACCCAGGTTAAGATCAGCAAGGATCTTTTGCACTGCCTCCTGCACGAGTTGCATAATCTGCTGCTTCAGTGCATCAGCAAAGCCACCTCCTAAGTCAAAGCCAGGCCCGGGGTGGCTGGCTTCTCCAATGCGAGTGCCCGCCTTGTCGTCGTAGTTTGGCTCAAGGCAGGGGATGCAAGGGATGCAGCCTGTTTTCCCCTCATGACTTTGTTTGGGATGCAGAGGCTCGCCCCAGCAAGCCTGTTTTCCCCTCGCAAGTTTGGGATGATAAGGCTCGCCCCAGCAAGTCCTTAACACCAGCATGTCGCCTCGGGTGAGAACCACCAGAAGCCAAGGGCGATCGCGAAAGCTGTACAGCAAGCGAAAGGCCACAGGGCTTCAGAAACATATGCACACGTGGAAGAGCATGAGCTTGCCGAAGTCCCACTCAAAGACTCTCCTCTTGTGAACCAGTGAAACAAGGCTCCTAGTCGTGACACGGCCATCACGAGTCTGCAAACTACTCAACTCGACAGGCAAGGCGCCTGGTCGCGTGTCTGCGGCCTACCCTACCCTACCCTAGGCAGGAAACTGCCTCTCACCAACAGCACGAGCAGGGCCACAAGTTAGCCCGGCTCACTCAGTGCAGGCTGCACCCGCTGCAAAGAATCAGCGATGTGCTGCTGCAGGATCTTGGCAGACGCAGCAGAAGCATGTATTGCATCCGTCTCCCACTTACAAGCAACTTCTCTCTGAGCGTGCCACTGCTCCCTCAAGGAGCCCGAAGCACGTCTCAGACGACACAAGTTGGCCTCATGATCAGCCTTATCATTCAAGAACCGGCATTGCACAGGGTCCAACTTGGAGTTAGGGACCCAAGTGCTATGCTTGCCATGCGAGGGCACCCATTCAAGCAGCAGGCTCAGGGCACGATCCTCAAGTTCTTTCTTCAGCGCGGCGGCTTCCTTCGCCCAAGTGGGGAGGCAACAAGACATGGGCGCATCCAGAGCAGCAATCGCCGACTGACAGTCCGAAAGCGCAACAATGGTGCACGACGTTTTTATCCGTCCCCGTTTCAAGGCACGAAGGAGGGAGAGGAGACCAAGCAGCTCGTATTTAAACGAGCTCTGATCCTCCTTCTCATCGCCATACGAGTAGGCCGCCTGAAGCGTCACAAGGGCGCACGCACCTGTATCCTGGCAAGAACTGCCATCCGTCGCAATGACCAGCAGGTCATGTCGTCGCGTCATCTCTTCAAGGTGTTCACAAAGTCGTCCCAGCCACTCCTCGTAGTCCGACTCTGCCGCTGCAGGAGGCTTCTCCGGCAGAGGAGCTGCAAACAAGCGTTCTTGCGCACGGTCGACGGGCATCGTCAGACCTGCACGAAGGTGGGCAGTGTGAGTGCAGCGCCAAAGCAAGTGGGCCCTGCTGGGCCACATACCTCCACACATACATGTCACAACCTGACCTTTAGGCAATTGCATTTTACGTGCAAAATGCCATCCGGTTGCACCTGTTGCATGAGCTGCACGCCGCTGTTCAAGGGGACCATCGCGGCCCAGCGCCTTGTGTCCGGCAAGTGCAAAACTTACGGTACGATTGGGTTTAGGGAGATCAAGACCAGTGGCAGCCAGTGGATCATCTCTGTGGAGCCTAGTCTTCACTCTACCGCACTTATGCAAGAACTTTTGCTGAAAACAATGCGAAAGCCATTCTCTTAAAACATTTTTATGATCACAGCCAAAATAAAATCGTCGAGTGCAGCCTTGAGCATCTTGACGAGTAATCTGGCTCCCATCAGCTGTGACTTGCCACGCATGGGCCTGCACAGTCTGCACTGCAACGGGTAAAGTCTGCATCCAGGTGGGGAAAGCATCAGTGAGAGGGACCGTATCCAACCATGCAGGCGGATTGGTCTGAAACCTCCAGGCACTCTGCAAGGCACGCCACTGGCACAACCACAGCGGGTCCCATTCCCACCCGTGCACAGCACAAATGAGACACCAAGGGGTCTCAAAGGTGACGTGAGGCTGCAAAATGGCATTGAGCTCATTTCTGATGGCATCAAGTTCGCAGTCGTCAGGGACCGCCACTCCTGCAGCCCAAACCATGGCCGAGCCGACCAAGCTGTTGGCTATGCGTTTTGCAACCTCTAGGGGGGGCTTAGCAACCTTAAGGAACCAAAGTCGGGTCAAGAGGGTATGCATCTGAAGCTTCAAGAGGGAGTTGGACTCTTCTTCCAAGTGCATGACAATCCCCAAGATTTCAAGAGTGTGCTGAACTTCGTAACCCTTAGCAGAGGCAAAAGCAGTGAGCACATCCTCGCCTGGAGGCTGAGCGACTGCACACTTGGAAGGGCGACACTTAAACCCAAAGATGGAATCGAACTCCGTGCTTTTGTCAAGAGCAGCATCAAGCAGGCGAGCCGGCTGAGCGCTTCCAGGCAAGGGCCACAGAACCCGGTCATCTATGAAGATGAGGTTGTTGGTGCCCGGGGTGGCGCAGAATCGAGACCATAAGTGGCCGAAGGCCAGTGCAATTGTCGGGGAGAGAGGACATCCCTGGATGCATCCGATCGACACAGGGGTCCACTGATCGTGCAGGTACCTTTCATGTTTGAAAAGCCTCTGCTGGCCACCATAGAAGGAGACGAGAAGACGCCCAAGTTCGGGAGGGGCACCTAGCCTATTCAAGAGGTGAACGGCAGTGCCTACATGGATTGAGTCAAAAAAGTGACTGAGGTCTTGTTTCAAAAAATGCCGGGCGCCAGCACGCCTGGCGAGCATAAGTCTTGCATGAGCATCTCCCACCCCTCTGGCAGGGGCGGCCCCCAGAGCACCGTGCTCGGCCCACGACTGGACCCAACCACGCAGGCTGCGATTTATGGCACGGGTGCCAACACGCCACGCGATTGAGCACAGTCCCAGCGGACGCGTGCCCCCTGCAGGTTTACGCACCAGAGTGACTATCACGCGACGCCAGCATTCAGGAACACTTCCATTTTGGAGGATAAACAACCAGAGCTGCAGAAAAGCCTCCCACCAAGCGGTGGGCAAACGGAGCAGTTGCTCCGCCGTCCACTGGTCCGGCCCGGCCGCTTTGTTGCGCATGGCCGCAGCCGAAGCACGAAGGGTCTCAACAGAAAGGCTGATGACTCCGGTCGATAGAGTGGACGCATCAGGAAGGCACCTGAAAGCCTCTTCGACGCGAGCGAGATCAATGTGCCTCTCCGGAGCAGTCCACTGTTTTGTCCAAACTTCCGCTTGGTCACGCAAGAATGCAGCGGGGTGGACAGCACCAGCATGCTTCGCAAGGTCAGGGGCCTGAGCTTCTTGCTGCAACTTCTCATCCGCTTTGCGCTTAATCCAACGAGTACTGAGCTTCTCATTGGTACAAACACGATCTTGCCACTGTTGCACCGCAGCCTTCTTTTCTTGAAGCGCGAAATCCTCAGTGAGGCCTGCGACCCAGGAAGTGACCGAAGGAATGTCATCCAATGACACGAAGGGGAGGTCAGCAAACAGGCGCCTAAGCTTAGCGAGGTTCTTACCAACCCTAAGCCTAAGTCCCGTAACGTGCGGCTGGCCCTGGAGTTGGCGAAGCTGGGCATGCAAGCGACGCAGGAAGCACAAGGTCTTCGACTCATGCCCTTGTTTTGTAGGTCGTCTGGGTGTCGAGTTGGACTTGCGAGGGCACCAGAGTTGACTTCTCAACACGCCTTGGTCGCTCGACTCAGCGCCCAAAGCCTGCTCCGCCGTATCCGACAGTAGGGCCCAAGCTTGGTCGACTGACTGCTGCTCCAAGAACTTTTGAAAGTTTTCAGGCTGCCAAACCGTGGAAAAACGTGAAAGTACTTCTTCCGGCTCACTCTCTGAAACACTACGAAAGTTGGGAAGTTTGCAAAACTCTGTTCGAACATTGACATCCAAGCGGTAGGCTACTACTCCGTGATCTGAGAAGGGTTCCTCGAAGAAAGAAACCTCAGAGGCCCAGAGAGCATGATGACTCAGGCCGAAGTCAATTCTCCGTGTGCGCGTCGGGTTTGTTGGAGGAAGTATCCCCCCCGCCTCGTCCAGCGATCGCACGAGTCCCTGCTGAAGGAATTTTCCTACCGCATTTTCTTCTTGAGTGGTGTTAAAGTCGCCTAAAACCACAAAGCAACCGCCATAACAATGGATGGCACGCAGCAGGTCCTGGACCAACACAGCAGTGGCGGCTTCATCCCCTGGGAAGCCGTAGACCGCCACAACGAGAACATGCTCAAAATGGTCAGCACGCTTGACTTCCACTAGTCCAGCAGCGATGCGACTGTGGGCGTGCACCTCCTGAAGCTGAACAGGCTGACAAGGAATGCGAGATACCAAAGCCACTCTGTGAACTTGAGTCGCCTCGTCGAGCGGACTCAAAATTGCGGAGTAACCCTTCCTACGCCATTCAGCCACATAGCCTGGAGCTGACTGCTTGTTAATGTCAACCTCCTGCAACGAAAGGAGATCGAATGAATGCTCACATGCAAATGCATCAAGAAAGGGAGTCTTCGAGATGCCCGTGCGGCAGAGGTTTGCGGTCAAAACTCCAACGAAGGCTGGGCAGGAGTGCTGACATGATCGACGGCAACGATAGCCGCATCGATTGCAGTGCAGAGGGTGGTCTTCTCTTTAGACGGTAGCTTCGCTGACAAAACCCACTGGTGCATGGTGCGGAAATGCTTAATTCGCCGCTTGCGAACCGCATGCTCGTTGTGAAGAGGCCGACACTTCCCCTTGGCATGGAGCTTGACAGTCGGGAGATCCTTGGATGGGACACCACAGGCAAGGCACTTCCATCCATGCTCAAGTGATATGCGCTTGATGTGGGGGCCCCCAGGCTCCTTCGCATGCTTGGCCTTGCCTCCAGGTTGGTACTTCGCAACAGGCCACACAAAGGTCTGGAGGCCCGGGAACCTTGGGGCTCGGACCTCTTTGAGTGCAGTCTTGGCAAGCCTGCGAGTGCGAACTCCTTCCGCAAAAGTTCGCCTGGTGTCCTCCGGCAGTTGAGCGAAAGGCGTGGGCTGAACCCGACTGATGGCGGACCACTCAGCTGGAGGAATCTCCGGGTGATGCGAGGCACGATGGTCCTGTCTCATTTTTGCAAAAACTTGCCGATTGACCGAACTCCTCACTGCACGAGAGACTCCAAGGGAGCATCGCGGGCATTTCCAAGCCATGTTTTTCCGTCCCCCAGGCACCTTTGACACCTTCGGGCGAGTGACTCGCCCAGGGAGTCCAGCTCCGTTGTGATGCTTGGCAAGATGGTTATGCAAGGCCTGTCTGTACTGCACCAACGTGTTGACCTTCTTCACAAAGGGACAGTAGGGGCACCGAAATGTGCAATCTTCAGGCATGACAGTGGCTGTGCGATGACTGCAGGGCGCAAGCACTTTTTTGGCAGGGATGCAATCCTCAAGCTCCTGGCACTGTGGGAAATCCTCATCCGGATCAGAATTGTCTGGAGTCCACACCGTGCCATTCTTAGTGCTACCGACTCTGGACCCTTTGCCAAGTTTCGAAGCAGCGGGGGCCTTACCGACAGAAACACCCCGGCAGGAAACCAAGGACCTAGCTCCCGAAGAACCCGAAGCCCTCAACGACGAAGAGTCGGCATCTGCATGGGCACCGGGTCCCTGCATGCCATCACTATGCGAGGCTGGCGGCTCTGCGTGTCGTGCAGCACTCTTCACAGATGACTTGCGGGATTTGGCGAAGGACCCTGCAAGCGAGGTCCAAGTCGTTTTGACAGTCTTCGTGCTAGAACTGGCTGTGAAGACCGAGCGCTCACTACCACTGCCTCCTACGAGAAACCCTCCATTCGGATCTGCAGAAACCTTCAGGATGGCCTGCGGATAGGCCTTCTCCGTGGGTTCCAAAAAGTCGAAATGCGAAGGAGTGAAGAAGATAGCGATGGTGCGTTTTTCTGCAGCTTTTCGGTGGTACACCGATACCTGGAAATTTGGGTCTTCAGGGATCAGGACCGCTCTGACGTCGTAGATCCTGCAGAGCGCTTTTAATTCCAGGTCGCCCGCATAAGATCCCGGCTTAGCTATAGCTTTCAGGAACGATTCCCAGTCATCCATTGGCTGGTTGTTGGGTCCCTTTTTGCCATCCGCCTCCCATTGGGGTCGATACCTATCCTCGTATCGTTGAATGTGGGCCACAGTCCTCGCTCTGAGCTCATGAGGGTGTGGCGCCTCCTCACTTTTCGATTTCCGTATCCAGTTAAGGGCAGACCTGAAGGTATGAAACAAGCAGTCGCCATCTTTAGGCTGGGAACGCAGCGCTGTCCCAGTGGGAACCGGTCGCTTGGAGGTGCACTGGCGCTTTGCATCGCCATCTGACTGCTTGGACTTATCCGAATTCTCGCTGTTTTGCATGTTCGCATCCGAATCCTCAGACAGAGCAGGGGGCCCTGCAGTTGTGACCGGATCGAGAATGCTATGCTTGTCGACAAACGGCACACTTCTACCCTTGATCTGTCTTTGCTTGAACTCTGCAGGCCGTGGCGGGGCAAGCTTGGCCCACAAGGTGAAAGTGCCAGGGCTGGCGCCAGGTTCGTCAAGCTGAATGGTGATCGGCACAAGATCGATGTCGTTGCCTCGTTTGCAGGCAGCGCGGAACACGAAGTTTTTCCAGGCTCCCCTTTGAACCTGCTTAAACATGGTGACGTCCGAGAAGTGCGCCTGAAGTAGCTCAGAGACCTGTTGCAAATCCCACGTTTTCGGGGCATGTTCAAGCACCCAAACCCTTTTGACAGGGGAGTTGGAATCGTTGTGTTTTCTCCATCCAATTGAGAGATCGTTGCAGACAAGGCCAAGGGGGCCTCGCGCGCGAATGACACGGGCGAGAAAGTCGCCGTCAGACTCTTTGGCATTGAGTCTGGGGGCCCATTCAACATGCTGGCCTGTAACCTTGTCCCGGGGGGGCTGAAGGAAAACTCCCTGATCCCCGGAACGACTCAAGAGAGTGGAAACGTCAGCTTGCGCAATCCTGATAATGCCATACACTTGACGTCGGCCTCCCTTGATGACTTCTTCAGCCCAGTTGAAGCAGTCTATGCAAAGGACATGGTGCTGGGCCGTCCACTGGGCGATCTGACGCTGCGGCCTCTCAACAAATCCCTTCCAGACCTGAGCTTCAGCGTAAGCCTTCGGGACTTTGACAAACAGGATCGCGGTGGCCTTGGTGGCAACTTTTTGGGGAACCGAAGAGATCCCAACCGGCTGCGGCGGAGCTTGCCCGGCAGAGCAAGCATGTATGACGAAAGCATCCTGCGCACGCAGCCTGATGCCAATCTTACCCGGAACCTGTTGAGGCTTGAGGTCCTTAGTGGGGCCAGGGTGATCTTTGGCGAGCACAATCAATAGACAGGCAAATTTTTTCGCTGTGCCTTGCAAAAGTGTTTGAACCGTGGCGAGTTCCTTCCCTGGGCACAAAATGACAGCACGACAAACATCACTGACAGCTGTATCCTGAAGTCGCTGCGCAATCCCTGTGCACGAAACCAATGGGGCATTCCAGTCCTGCTGACGAAGCTCAAATGGTTCCTCAGTTTTCGGCTTGCGCTCCACAAGCTTCCAGGCATCTTTCCCGGAAGGATTGGCGGAGTCAACCTGAGTGGGAGTCCCACCCTTGCCTTTAGACTTTGGCCTCTCTGCCGTATTGCCACGGCCTCCAAGAGGGGCATTGCGAGCTGCATCACCAGATCCAGCGCTTTTGTGCTTCCCTTTTGCCTTCCCCTTGCCATCGGGGGCAACAGGCACGGCCTGGGGCACAACATTGGCTTGCACTGCACCTTCGCCTTTACCTTTGCGCTTGCGCTTGAGAGGCTGTGCACTGGCCTCCGGAGCAGGATGCAATGACTGGGCTGGGAGGGCAACTTGAAGGTTTTGCATAGCAGTCTGCACCGCCGACTGTACTGCAATCTGAATCTGCTGCTGAATGAAGCTCTGCAACATGTTCCCAAAATTGGGTCCCAGCAGGCTGCCAACATCAAACACAGAGGCAGCACTGCTGTCGGCAGGGGTCGCTGATCGGGCCTGCTTAGGTCCTGGGTTTGAGGCCTCCCCCACACGAGTGGCTAGCAGATAGCAGTGCTGAATCACGTTGGAAGGCAAACACGTCCACAGCTTTGCAGACCAGCACGCTCGCATGGAGATGCGTCCGTGCTTCACTTCGGTCTGACGGCGACGCTTGAAGCTCTCAATGTTGCCATCGGCAGTGAAAACTGCAGGATGGCAAAATCTTGATGGGTCCTGCACAACGAACTCGATCTCGAGAACACTCAAAAACGATGTTGTGTAGTTGTAATGGTCACCCCCCGCGTTAGCAAGCAAGGAGATGCGTTCGTGCTTTATTTCGGTCTGGCGGCGGGGCTTAGAGCATTCAATGCTGCCATCAGGGATGAAACCTGCGGGATCCCAAAATGTGACTGTGCACGCAAAGACAACGCAGGGTAGTTGCACCAGTCACCCCGGGCGCTGGTACACACGGAAATGGGTCCGTGCTTCACTTCGCTCTGGCGGCGGCGCTTGAAGCTCTCAACGCTGCCATTGGCGATGACGTCGCCACAGTCGCCACAGGCCCCTGCCCAGACCCCCATTCTCGGCTCGAGAATGGGGGTCTGGAAAATGCTGGTTTTGGCAGCCCCACAGCACCGGCGGCGCTTGAAGCTCTCAACCCTGTCATCGGCCCTGAAACCGCGCTTGAAACTCTCAACGCTGTCATCGGCACTGAAACCTGCAAGCATGGAGGTGCATCCGTGCTTCACTTCGGTCTGACAGCGGGGCTTGAAGCTCACACAACTGCCATCGGCGACAAAACCTGCGGGATCGCAAAATCTGACTGGGTCCTGCACACCGGAAGCGATCTCGCAAGCATGCAAAGACGATGCAGTGTAGTCGCGACAGTTACCCCAAGCGCTTGTGATTATGGAGGTGGGTCCGTGCTTCACTGCGGTCTGACGGCGGCGCTTGAAACTCTCAACGCTGCCATCGGCACTGAAACCTGCAAGCATGGAGATGCATCCGTGCTTCACTTCGGACTGACGGCGGCGTTTGAAGCTCTCAACGCTGCCATCGGCACTGAAACCTGCAGGATCGCAAAATCTGACTGGGTCCTGCACACCGACCTCAATCTGGCAAGCATGCAAAGGCGACGCAGTGTAGTTGGAGGAGTCACCCCAAACGCCTGCAAGCATGGAGATACGTCCGTGCTTAATTTCGGACTGACGGCGGCGCTTGAAGCTCTCAACGCTGCCATCGGTTCTGAAACCTGCAAGCATGGAGATGCGTTCGTGCTTCACTTCGGTCTGACGGCGGCGCTTGAAACTCTCATTGCTGCCATCATTGCAACCTGCGGGATCGCAAAATCTGACTGGGTCCTGCACACCGAGCTCTATCTCAAAGGCACACAAAGACGATGTAGTGAAAATGGAACAATCACCCCGAGCGCTTGCAAGCATGGCGATGCGTCCGTGCTTCACTTCGGTCTGAGGGCGGCGCTTGAAGCTCTCTACGCTTCCATCGGCGATGAAACCTGCAGGATCCCAAAATTGGACGGAGTCCTGCACACCGAAATCGAACTCACCAGCATGCAAAGATGATGCACCATAGTTGGGACAGTCACCCCAGGCACTTACAAGCATGGAGATGCATTCGTGTTTCACTTCGGTCTGACAGCGGCGCTTGAAGCTCTCAACACTGCCATCGTCAGTAAATCCTGCGGAATCGCAAAATCTGACTGGAACCTGCACACCGAACTCGACCTCAAAAACATGCAAAAACGATGCAGTGTAGTTGGGACAGTCATTCCAGGCGCTTGCAAGCATGGAGATGCGTCCGTGCTTCACTACGGTCTGGCGGCGGCGCTTGAAACTCTCAACGCTGTCATCGGCGAAAAACCCCGCGGGATTCCAAACTCTGACTGGGTCCTGCACACCGAAAAGGATCTCAAAGGCACGCAAAGACGATGCACAGGCACCGATGACGAAGAACTGCTGCAGGGCCGCAGTGGGCTTGCAAGTGATAAACGGCATGCAGCAAGGTCCTGGGTTACTAGCCTCTCCAACGCGAGTGCCCGTAAGAGGATTATGACAGCCTTGACGGCTCACGTCCCCGGGCGCATTTGCTTCACTGATGTTTGGTAGCACGTGAAGAGAGGGCACGGGTACCTGCGAGGGGGCAGGGGACCTAAACCCAAAAGGGGGAAGGCACGGGAAAGTGCAGTAATCAAGACACCCAAACCCATGCAAACCTGTCGAAGTGCCACAACCTGTCAAGTCGTGACTAGCAGAACCCTGCGAGGCACCAGCATACGGAACCTGACTCTTGCAAAAGGAGGCTACAGTTAGCCTGGCACCGACATGACCGCACGCACCACAAGCTGCGGGCCGACACGGATGGGAGCCCCCACAGGTTGGCACCGCATCTCTGCTCGGTGGGGACATGCAAGTGCAGACGGGTACCCCTAAAGGGACAGGAGGGGACCGAAACCCAAAGGGGGAAGGGAAACCCTGCTGCAGGCATCCACCACTGCACTCGGCATAGTCCTTGTCCGGGACGACGAAGCCACGGTCGCCTCGAAGCACGGGTTCCTGCAAGTCGGGGCCATGGCGACAGCGCGGCAAGAAGGAAGGACAGGGGGGCTCCGGGGAGCCAGGTCTACCTCTATCAGTCTTAGCTAGCACCGACGGTCCAGCTTCCGACTCAATCTTTGCCCTTGCGCGGGTCTTGATAGTGCTGAGCTCCCACAGTACGCTAAGAACACGGCCATACAGGCTCTTCGTCCTACAGTCAGGCTCGCACTCACCATCACAATTAGCACTAGTTAGGCCACTAAGGCTCTTTGCCCTTTCGCGGGTCTTGTTGATTTCTTGACACTCACAATCGTCACTAGCTAGGCCTCTAAGGCTCTTTGCCCCTTCACGGGTCTTTTCCGTTTCTTGATTCACACAATCAGAGTACTCAGGAGTTGCAGTCGACGGTCCGCGCAGCCCAGCACCAGAGTCCAGGTCACACGCAGGTTGACATGCTTGCAGTTGCGGTGCATAGTAAAGAAACTCCTCTGAAAGAGTAGCCTCGAACATGCACAGCTGAGATATAGGCGGTTCTGGTTCAGCTAGGGCATCCTCTCGACAATCACTCATCGAGAGCTGCACCTGAGAATCATCCTCGGCAGATGCAATACCAATCCCCGACTGGCAAGGATCTGCCACAGCAGCATAGTTGCTGCCCCCACTGGTGCCATCTGAGCTGGCCCCCACTGAAGCCCCTGGCCACAAGCCAAAGGCCCCAACTGCACTCCACACTATAGTTCTCGGCACACCGCGCTGAGCCAAGAAATCAAAGTCCTTCTGGAACAGCTGAAGCTGAAAATCACGTGCTCGAACAATGAAAGCGCTCAGCGTTTGCAGTCGCTGAGCCACCCACGGTTGTGCATCTCGGACATTGCCAGATGCTTTCCCCCAGCTGCCGAAGCAGCTCTTCTCTTCCCCATTCATTTCTTTCCCCAGCAAAGAAATGTCATCACTCAAAGCCCAATTCATGAGCTTCCAAGAACGCCTTAAGTACAGGTAAAACCCACAGTCGAGGCCGCCCGAAGAAGGAGCCATGGCCCGAAGGCACTTTGCGGGAAGTGTTAGCCCTGCACCTGGGTAGTACAGGTTTCCAGCTCAAGACACGGGGAGTCCCTTCCCGCTTGAGCCGCCTGTTTTCCCCTCGGTAGTTTTGGGTGCAGAGGCTCGCCCCAGCAAGTCCTCAACACCAGCACGTCGCTTCGGGTGAGAATCACCAGAAGCCAAGAGCGATCGCGAAAGCTGTACAGCAAGCGAAAGGCCACAAGGCTTCAGAAACATATGCACACCTGGAAGAGCATGAGCTTGCCGAAGTCCCACTCAACGACTCTCCTCTTGTGAACCAGTGAAACAGGGCTCCTAGTCGTGACACGGCCATCACGAGTCTGCGAACTACTCAACGCGACAGGCAAGGCGCCTGATCGCGTGTCTGCGGCCTACCCTACCCTACCCTACCCTAGGCAGGAGCTCAGGTCTGTCGCGGGCTCAACACAAGAGTGAAGGTCCAGCGACCGCAGTGGCACTTTGGTGTTCGGCTGTTGCGGGCCTGAGCACAAGAGCACATGCCCAAGCAGCTGCAGCGGCACTCAAGAGAGTGTCAGTTTCGCGCAAAAGCTGTCAAGTTGCAAGAAAGCAACGACACCTGTGGGTCGCCGATGAGGGGCATCCGTTCGTGGCCTCAGCGCCGAGGCAAAGAAGGGCGCCAAGACAGGCACGACCCAGCAGGGTACAGAACACTGTTGTAAAAAAAAGCAGGTCCGGCGCACACGACATCAGGTATCGGTGCAGCCGCGCAAAAGGCAGTAGCACAAGAGAGGGGCACAATCTTAAGACCTCGCCGCTGAGGCCGAAGAAGGGCGCAACTCTGCAAGGCACTTATCACCGGCAGTCAAGAAAGCAGGCGCACACGAAGACAGGCTTCGGTGCAGCCACGCAAGCGTCAGTAGCACAAGAGGGAAGCACAAGCTTAAGACCTCGCCATTGAGGCCGAAGACAGGCGCAAGCTCCACAAGGCACGTATCACTGGCAGTCGTGAAAACAGGTTGAGTCCACGCAAGGGTCACGGCTTTGGCATAACGGGAATCGGGGACTAAGGCAAACCTCAACCCAAAAAGCCCGGGCAACCAAAGGACTATCCTACACCATCTTGGTTATCATCGGCCGGTTGCATGGCCCGGCGATAATGGGCATCCAAAGCACCTGCTGCAGCAGCCGAGTGCTTGATGGCAGCCATCTCCCATTCTTTTGCAGCCTGCCACTGGGACCACCACTGGACCCTCGAACACCTGGCAGCATGTGCTTCACGAGCGGTTTCAGCCGCCCTGTCCGCTTGATCATTTAAGGCGCGGCACATTGCAACCGAGAAAGTCCAGCTTGCCGGAGGCTTCCAACTCTGTTGTTTGCCATGCGAGGGTATCCAAGCAAGGTCAACTTGGTGGCCCAGGGCCCTGGCGGACTGGAGATTTCGCGAGACTTCTGCAGCAAGCAGGGGCAGTGCACACTGAAGAGGGTTCTCAAGAGCATCAAGGGCCCCTTGGCAGTCTGACAGCACACAGAAGCGGCGCCCAGCGATGACAGTCACCTGAAGGAGGGCAGCCGATACGAGTCGCAGGGCTTTGAGTTCGCAAGTGAAAGGCATCTGGTCCTCATTGTTGTCAGTGGCAACGAAGTGAGCATCACCATGCACCACCGCCGCCGAGCCCACCTGATGCTTGCTAGAGCCATCAGTCGCGAGGAGGACATCGCCACAACCATTCTCGGGGGCCGAAAGGGTGACATCATCCAGTCGGCGTGCAAGGGCGGCCGCCGCATCTCTCCAGGGGTCCCCACCAACGGCCGGTGGAAACTCCGGGACCTCAGCAGCGAACAGTCTCTCGCCTGCTCTGGTGCGTGGCAGTTGTCCCAGTACGGAAACAGGCGTCAAGACATCGCAATTCCAAGTGAGGTGCGCCCTGCTGGGCGCTGCCTGTTTTCCCCTCGCAAGTTTGGGATGATAAGGCTCGCCCCAGCAAGTCCTTAACACCAGCATGTCGCCTCGGGTGAGAACCACCAGAAGCCAAGGGCGATCGCGAAAGCTGTACAGCAAGCGAAAGGCCACAGGGCTTCAGAAACATACGCACACGTGGAAGAGCATGAGCTTGCCGAAGTCCCACTCAAGACTCTCCTCTTGTGAACCAGTGAAACAGGGCTCCTAGTCGTGACACGGGCATCACGAGTCTGCGAACTACTCAACACGAACGGCAAGAGGCCAGTTCGCGTGTCTGCGGCCTACCCTACCCTACCCTACCCTAGGCAGGAGGTCAGTCGCGGGCACGACACAAGAGTGAAGGTCCGGCGACCGCAGTGGCACTTCAAGGCACAGCTATGGCAAGCCTGAGCACAAGGACACTGGCCCAGTGCCTGAGGTTTACCATTGAGGGGCATCCTTTCAGGGCCTCAGCGCCGAGGCAAGAGAGAGGGTACCTGGACAGGCGCGACCCAAAGAAGGTACGAAGCACTGGCTGTTGTGAAAAACAGGTCCGGCGCACACGACGTCAGGAATCGGTGCAGCCTCACAAAAGTCAGTAGCACAAGAGAGGGGCACCAGCTGAAGACTTCGCCACAAGGTTGAAGAAGGGCGCAACTCTACAAGGCACTTATCACCGGCAGTCAAGAAAGCAGGCGCACACGAAGACAGGCTTCAGTGCAGCCACGCAAGCGTCAGTGGCACTTGAGGGAAGCACAAGCTTAGGACCTCGCCTTTGAGGCAGAAGACAGGCGCAAGCTCCACAAGGCACATATCACTGGCAGTCGTGAAAGAACATGTTGTTTCCACGCAAGGGTCACGGCTAAGGCAAAACGGGAAAAAGGGGACTAAACCTCAACCCAAAAAGCCCGGGCAACCAAAGGACTATCCTACACCATCTTGGTCATCATCGGCCGGTTCCAAGGCCCGGCGATAATGGGCATCCAAAGCACCGGCGGCAGCAGCCGAGTGCTTGATGGCAGCCATCTCCCATTCTTTTGCAGCTTGCCACTGGGACCACCACTGGACCCTCGAACACCTGGCAGCATGTGCTTCACGAGCGGTTTCAGCCGCCCTGTCCGCTTGATCATTTAAGGCGCGGCACACTGGAACCGAGAAAATCCAGCTCGCCGGAGGCTTCCAACTTTGTTGTTTGCCATGCGAGGGTATCCAAGCAAGGTCAACTTGGTGGCCCAGAGCCCTGGCAGACTGGAGATTCCGCGAGACTTCTGCAGCAAGCAGGGGCAGGGCACACTGAAGAGGGTCCTCAAGAGCATCAAGTGCCCCTTGGCAGTCTGACAGCACACAGAAGCGGCGCCCAGCGATGACAGTCACCTGAAGGAGGGCGGCCGATACAAGTCGCAGGGCTTTGAGTTCGCAAGTGAAAGGCATCTGGTCCTCATTGTTGTCAGTGGCAACGAAGTGAGCATCACCATGCACTACCGCCGCCGAGCCCACCTGATGCTTGCTAGAGCCATCAGTCGCAAGGAGGACATCGCCACAACCATTCTCGGGGGCCGAAAGGGTGACGTCATCCAGTCGGCGTGCAAGGGCGGCCGCCGCATCGCTCCAGGGGTCCCCACCAACGGCCGGTGGAAACTCCGGGACCTCAGCAGCGAACAGTCTCTCGCCTGCTCTGGTGCGTGGCAGTTGTCCCAGAATGGAAACAGGCGTCAAGACATCGCAATTCCAAGTAAGGTGCGCCCTGCTGGGCGCTCGAAGTCCACATGGGCAAACTTGTGGCTGAGTGAAGCCTTGTATTCGCTTAGCAACATGCCATGTGGAGTTACCCGAAGCCACGGCCGCTCGTTGCACATCCAGGGGGCCGCCCCTACCTAAGGCACGGTGGCCCGCTAAAGCATGGCGGGTTCCAGGCGGGGGGGCCGGAAGGTTTAGTCCACGGGCAAAGGAGGGATCACTACGGTGGTAAGAGGTCTTAATCCTAGGGCACCGTTGAATCCCAACTAACTTATATTGCTCGACGAGCCACATTTTGAGAACCGAAAGATTATCGTAGCCAAAACGGAAAGTGCGCACATTTTGGTCGTCGTCACTTCGTTGTATGGCCCCTCCATCTTCAGCGACTCGCCACCCGCACCTCTGTAGGACATCGCGGGTCCTAGGCAGAAAGGTGGTCCACGGCAGCACAGCTTCACTCACAGGAATGTGATCCAGCCAAGGGGGCGGATTGCACCAGTATCGGGAGGCATGGCTTAAGGCGGCCCAGTCCAGGGCAAAGTCCGGATCCCACTCCCAGCCATGAACCGCGCACAACAGGGCCCAGGGCGCCTCCCGTGTGACCGAGGTCCGGAGGGCCCGAAGAATGCCATCCTTGATTTCACTGAGTTCCTGCTCGGAAGGCCTAGCCGCCCCAGCAGCCCAGGTGAAAGTAGGTAGGATCAAGCTGCGGATCAGCCTCCGCTGCAGGTCGATCGGCGAGTTGAGCATGCGAATGTATCGCAGTCTCAAGAGAACCATTTTCAAGGAGAGCTTGAGCAGGGTGGACTCGCGCGTGTCAACATCGATCACAATTCCCAGCGTATGCAGGGCAGTCTGCCTGGGGTACTTGCGATGCCAGAGTGCCTGGAGCGTTTGGTCGCCTGCAGGGGCAACCAACGCGCATTTTTCGGGACGGCAGCTCAGCCCAAAAGCTTTATCCACCAGGTCACTTTTGTCGAGAGCTTCGGCGAGCGCTCGCCCAGCGGACTCCGTGGCAGGTTGCCTGGGCCATAGAATTCTATCATCCACATAGATTGCACATTCAACAGAGCTGGTAGCGCAGTACTGGCTCCATATGAATCCATAGCACAGGGCCACCGTGGGGCTGAGCGGGCAGCCTTGCAGGCATCCCTGGGTGGCTGTTTGCCAGCTAGGCGTGAAGTATGAGGCCACTCGAAACAGACGACGAGAGTCGGTGTAGAATGCCTTAAAAAGGTTCACAAAGCAGCTAGGGGCTCCAAGCCTCGTCATGGCGCGAGCCATCGCATTATGGTCGAGCGAATCGAAGAAGGAACTAAGATCTTGTTGCACAAAGGTACTGCAGTTTTGCTGCATGGCCAGGTAGAGCCTGGCGTGCACATCACTGGCCGATCTGTGCGGGGCAGATCCCAGGGCACGGTGATCGAGGAAGGAGTTGAGCCAGGGCAGGAGTTTACGATTCAAGGCCTTGGCTCCAATCCTCCATGCAACGGGGCTGATGCTTATTGGCCGCGTCTCATTGATCTTTTTATCAAGTAGAAGCACCCAGGATTTGCGCCAGGCCTGGGGAACGACCGATGTGCTCACAACCGCCGTCCAAAGTTTGGCAAAATGCTGCCACCACAGTAACGGCATCTGCAAAAGAAAATCAGCGGACCAAAAATCCGGCCCTTCCATTTTCCCTTTCATGGACCTGGCGGACCTCAGGAGATCATCAGCTTCAAGTTGGATGGTCATGTCGTGGTGGTGGCCTGGCGGCACACTGTCCAGCACTTGCGTCAGCAGTCTCTCTTGCTCCTGAGTTCTGGGGCGGGAGGTCCATTTGTGCATCCAGGCGCGGCTTTGCTGTTGCACCACGCGAGCAGGGTGCACTGCATGCGGCAAGTTGTCAACAGGAGCCGCCGGCTTCTCTGCATCAATCGCCTGCCGAGCTTTTCGCTTGATCCAGGACCGAGCTTTACGCTCATCATCTTTAACATCCAGCTTCCAGCGCTGCAGTTTGGCCTCCTTTTCCTGGGCTTCCAAGTCCTGGCACGCCTGCTTGGCCCACTCAGCCGCCTTCCACGGGGAATGCAAGTCAACATAAGGGACATTTTCAAAATAATGGCGAAGCTGGCACAAGGAGCGTTGCACCGCACGTCTAAGTGGCTCAGAGTGCTGCTGTGCACACAATTGGTGGATTCGCGCCGAGAATTTTCTCACCGTTCGGAGGGCCGCGGACTCGTGCCCATGTGCTCCAGCCCTTGAGGCCGTCGCCCGACGGGGGCGTGGATCCCAGTTAGCACTGCGAGACATCCCGGGGTCGCCATCAAGTGGGGTGCCTTTCAGGGCTTTTTCTGCAACATCGGAAAGCATGGCCCATGCATCATCCAAGGACGCTTCCTGAACAAGAGCCTCAAAGGCCGTCGGATCCCAATGTTTCAAGAAAAGATCGTGCACGGTTGCCGCATCAGGCGGCTGTAGGGCCATCGGCCTCGGGGCTTGGTGACTGTCACAACTCGTGTCCATGGCGATTTGATACACGACTGAAACATGATCAGAAATGTGCGGCAAATCGAAGTGACTCACAGAATCCACCACAATGCGTCTGTGGCAGACTCCAAAATCAATTCTTCTAGTGCGCCTGGGATTGGTGCAAACCTGCTCAGCCTCAATCGTGGTGTCCATGGGTTGGACCTGCCCTCTAGCAAAGGCACGGGGAAAGGGGCCTTCTTGTTGCACAGCATTGAAGTCGCCCCAGATGGCAAAGCGGCCCCCAAAGGCGAGGGCTGCCGACAGCACTTCCTCGAAAGCCTCCGCAGTGGCCGTGACGTCACCCGGGTAGCCGTAAAAAGCCATCAGGAGCAGTTGAGTCGCAGTGCCATCACAGGAGTCCTCAACGGTGTCCACGAGGGCTGCCACAGTCCTGGCGCGAGCTTTCTGAAGCGGAAGAGCGATCGCCTTCGCCGGGGCCGCAGATATCAGAGCAACCCTGTGCAAGCCTTTGTCCTCCTCCTGCGGGCTAAGCATGGCATGATAACCCAGCGCTTTCCACTCCGAAATGTAGCCTAGAGCAGACAAGGGGTTAACGTCAACCTCCTGAATGGAAACAAAATCAATGTGTTCATCCCGGCACAAGCTACAGATGGCGGGATTTTTGGAGACACCAGCTTGATTCGTGTTAACGGTCAGGAGGCGAGCGAAGGTGCATTGGGGGGAGCTCGCTTTTGGACAGCTTGGATAGCCCCATCAATGGCACTCAAGTACAACCGTTGCTCAGCTGCCTCAACATGATCAAGGACCCACCGCCGCATCTCAGCAAATTGTTTGAGGCGAAGGCGCGTGACCTGGGCAGCCCTTTTCGCTGGTGGACACAGGCCCTTAGAGTGACGGCGCGCAATAGGGAGATCTTTCGTGGCGGCACCACACTTTTGGCACAGCCAAGCATGCGTTAGGGATATGCGCTTAATTTTGCGGGCAGCATGTTTGGAGCTGGTGCCCTTGGCATTTTTCTTAAGTGGGAAGTGCCGCGGCACGGGCCACACGAAAGTTTGCATGCCGGGGAATCTAGCTTGGGAAACCTCAGTGAGGGCAACCTTTTGCAGAGCGCGTCGGCGGCAGTCTGCAGCGAAGCCCTTGGCATCCTTAGGACCGGTTTGTTTCAAGGAGATCAAAGCGGTCCACTCATTCTTGGGCACCTCTGGGTGGTGCTGTTGTCTGTGATCTTCACGCATCTGGGAAAACACATGTCTGCTGATGGTTGCTCTAACCTCTTTGGAGACTCCGAGCGAGCACTTGGGACACTTCCAAAAGCGGTTTTTGGCCCCTCCCTGAACCTTGCCTACCTGAGGACGTCGAAGGGGCCCCGGAAGCGTGGCGCCACCATGATGCCGATTGTAGTGGTTATGGTTGACCTGTCGGTACTGTGCCAAGCTAGCAGTAGCACGCTTGAAAGGACACAATCTGCAGTGAAAAACACCATCAGCAGGCCTGCAGATGGGGGCACGATGCGAGCAAGTTGCAATTTGCTTTCGTTTCACAGGGACATCGGGCTCGCAACCCGAGAGGTCTTGGCTGAGATCATCGTCATGGTCCTCGTTGCAGTGATCCAGCCCACGGCTGGAGGTGACAACGAGCCTTCGGCCAGTGTTCTTGCAACGCTGCGAGTCAGGTGCGGCCTTCAAGGGAGCAGGAAGAGGGCGTGCAGCACACTTGGTCCAAACCGTACCAGCATCGAAAGAGTGGGGCACACTGCTGGCAGCTTTGGTGCTTCGGGGCTTGAGATGAATGCCCGGCGTCACCTTAGACGAATTGGCAGTCCACACAGTGCCCGATCGGAGTGAAGAAGCATCGTCTGAGCCACCAACTCGGATGCCTTTTACCGGGCCGTCGCTGACCTGCCAGTGCTCCTGAGGGTAGTCCTTGCTCGTGGTTTTCTCACCCTTTGGCTTCAGGAACTCCAAGTGTTTGTTTTCCAGCCAAAGGACCAACATTCGCCGGGTCTGCGAGGTGTGGAAAACCATTGGCGTGAAGAGATCTGAAGCCGGGATGATAAGTACTCGAGTGTTATAGATTCGGGCCAAAGCGCGAATCTCAAGCTCAGAGGCAAATTGCCCCAACTGCTTGATTGCCGTCAAGTAATCATCAAAGGTTTTGTCCTTGCCTCCGCAGGGCAGAAGACCATCCCATTCACTTTCGTATTCCTGGCGGTGTTTTTCAAGATGGGCCGCCGCGCGGGCTCGAAGCTCAACGTGGCTGAACTCCTTGATGCTATCGCCTTTGCCTGTGGAGAGCCAGGCGAGACCCTCAGCAATGGCATGAAAAGCGCAGTTGCCGTCTGTGGCACAAGTGCGGCGCTCAAGGCCCTCCGGCACCAGGCGAGTCGACCCTCGTGATCGTTTTGCAGCCGGTAGCTCTTTGCCATTCGCATCCGTTGTGACCCCCTCCGAGCCCTGGGCCGAGTCCGGCACTGCAGCAAGGCTAGTTGTTTTGTCAGGCTGAACATGCGGAACGGTGCCTCGCGTGAGGCGCCGCTGCTGAGACTGAAAAGTTCTTGCAGGGGCCAGGGCGGCCCAAAGCACAATAGGCTGACCTGAATCATCGACGTGGGCATTGAGTGGGACCAGGTCCTTGTCCCCCGCCGAGCACTTGGCCCTAAAACGAAAGGTCATGGAGCCCCTATGCAAACGGTGTGAGAGGATGGTGATATCAGTGAAGCCCTGCTCAAGCAATTGCGTGACCTCATGGCTGTGCCATTCACGCGGCACTTCACTGACACACCAGATGCGTGGCAGCAGTTCGCCGTCGGTCTTGGTGTGACGCCAGGCAATGCGATTGCCGAAGACGGTTAATCCATGAGCAGGGGCGCCCCGAAGGGCTCTTTGCAGATACTGGTCGTCGGTCTCTTGTTTGCTGAGCCGCGGGAGCCACTCAAGACGTGCTTGGACAACATCCCGACGGGCTGGTTCAACAAAGATCCCTCGTTGGCCAGACCGGCCCAGCAGGGTACCAACATCAGCAGAAGGGACCCTGAGCAGGCCAAACAGTTGCGACGTCTTGGTGGTCTTGATCTGCTCTTCAACCCAACCAAAAGCGTCAACTCCTTGCACATGATGAGAACCGGCCCACTGCATGCAAGCCTTGGCAGCATTGCCCTTGAAATCCTTCCAGGTTTGCTCGCTGGCAAAAACCTTGGGGATGCGCATGTAGACCAGGGAGGTCTGGAGTGATTTAACCTTCACCGGGGCTTTCAGGCCCTGTGGATCCGGGGTGAGGTGTTCCTTGGCACTGTTCACCTGAATCACCTGGGCTGTGCGGAAACGCAGAGCATCACCAATACGACCTGGGATACGCTTAGCATTGGTGCCTTTATCAAGATATATGTGCAACATGGCAAACGGCTTGCCAGACGACTTCAGCATGGCAGTGGCAGTGTCAAGCTGGGGTTTGGTGGCAAACACCACGCCCTTGATGACCTCACCTGGTGCGGCCTTGTCGATGAGATTTCCCAAGCTGGAGTAAGCAACTAAAGGGGCTGTCCAATCTTGGGCTCGGAGCTGAAACTCTCCCTCCTCCTTGGGCTTGCGGGTGACCAGATTCCATCCTGAGCCGGAGGGCTGCGCCGTAGGGCTGCCTTTGCCTTTGCCTCGGGAGGGCTGCGGTTGCGCTGCATGCAAAGGACCAGCGGGGTCTTCACGTGATTTGGCAGGCGTGGCATCACGCTTGGCTGGGTGCTTGCCACCGCCCTTGGAGCGCTCAGTGCCCTTGGGACCTTTGCGTGGCCCAGCTGGCCGCTCGTTAGCCGGAGTCTGTGACACTAAAGCCTGACCCCCTAGGAGAGAACCCAGGTTAAGATCAGCAAGGATCTTTTGCACTGCCTCCTGCACGAGTTGCATAATCTGCTGCTTCAGTGCATCAGCAAAGCCACCTCCTAAGTCAAAGCCAGGCCCGGGGTGGCTGGCTTCTCCAATGCGAGTGCCCGCCTTGTCGTCGTAGTTTGGCTCAAGGCAGGGGATGCAAGGGATGCAGCCTCGATTGAAATCGGATCTCGGTCCTGGGTGGCTGGCTTCTCCGATTCGCACTCCGATTTTGTCATCGTGACTTTTGTCCCGGCTAGGGGTGCAAGCAGCAAAGGGAAGCCCGAATGCACAACAACTCGCAACAGCCTGACCAAAATCAAGAAACGAGGGACACACAGGGAGCCAGCCTCGAAGGAACGGACACCATGATGTGTTTGAGGATGTCCCTGGCGTCTGCGAGCACACTGTTGCAGGCCGCCCTCGGTGGGATATGCTGGGGTCTTTCAACCAATCTTGACCACACCTCGGGCTGACCTCGGCACTTTCAAGAAAACACGTATCATATGCAAAAGGGCGGGCAGCATGGGTCCTGGTCCGTCCTCGGTGGGATTTCTCGCTCTCTTTCGAGGGTTCCTGACCGCACCTCAGACAGAGTCGGCCGGTTGCGCCGCAGCACCAACACTGAAAGGTCTGATCAAGCGGGAACTCAGAAGATACATCACATGCTGTGCGCTCAAGAGTCGGCTGGGGCCTAAAGGGACTACACCCAACTGGGCCCAGGGAGACAGGCTGCACAAAATCCCCAGGGAAAGGCCTAGACCCTAGGGTAACCGAAGGAGCAACGGGAAGACCCGACACCACATGGCAGGGTTCACACTCTGAAGTTCCCAGGCCCTCCTTCCCATGCTGGTAGGAGTCCTGGCGCACACTCGTACCTGCAGAATCAGGCGGGGTCCCAGTGAACACAGCTCGCTGCACAAGGTCACTGTCACTAGCACAATCTGCTGCACACAGCGCCGAGGAAATCACAAATGCAGGCTGAGTCGAGGAAACCGAAACACATGCATGCAGCTGACTCTCCAGGTGGACCTGCACCGGGCTTTCATCAGCACTCCAAGGGGTCTGTGCCAGCGGGCTGGCGTGATTTGCACTCATCGCTTTGGGCGGGGTCAGAGGCCTAAACCCTACGGCAACCGAAGGGGTAAAGGGAGGACTCGGCACCTCAAGGCCAGGCTCACACTCTGAAGTTCCAAAGCCGACCTTCTCGTTGGCTGCCTCGTGAGCCTGCTGCTGGAGGGAGCCCTGGCATATGGTTGCACCTGCGAGGGCAGGCGGGAAAGCACTGAAGGAAGGTCGCTGCACGAAAGCACTGCCGCTAACACGAACTGCTGTACACAGCACAAAGTCATTGACATATGCGGGCTGATTCGAGGGGACCAATACGCATGCAGACGGCCTACGCTCCAGAACGACCTGCAAAGGACTGTCACATGTGCTCCAAGAGGGTTGCTCCAGCTTACCTTCAAGATTTTCACTCATCGCACTGGGCAGAGTCGCAGGCCTAAACCCTAGGGAAACCGAAGGGGAGAGGCCAAGACTACCATTGTGTTGCTGCTGTGCTCGGCTTCCAGTGTTCACCACACCACAAGCAGAGTCCTGGGTGCCACCATCGTTGCCATGGCTTCCGCACTGCGAGGCTGGAGGCCTAGGGGGGCCCACCAAGGGGCCGGT